TTCCCCTTAAAATTCATGCCAGACTCAAATGAGTCCTACACTTTTTTTTCTGTCTGATATCATTGACTATATACAGTATGGCTATGATCATACAGTATATAGTCAATGACATCACCCAGGATCCCATGGGCATGCTTGCAAATAGAAGCAGACTGGGGATCGGATCAGTCTTTTGGCAGCAATTTCTTTTAATTTTGCATTGGCACATGTTCCCCCAGCAATGTCCAGCTCCCAGTCCCAGGATGTTGTGTGGGGTATTATATGGCATTCCTCCGAAACTCCCACCTATTCATTATAAGGGAGACTCAATTAAAAAAGAAAAAGAAAAAAACATGCAAAACAAAATGGCATGGGATCCCCCTCAAAAACCATACCCGATTCTAGGGGTTCCCCTTGTAAAAAAAAACAATAAAAATCATAAGGGCCCCTTAAATCCATGCCAGTTTCTTGTATGGATTTTGGGGAAACTCTAATCCTTATTACATTTCAGCTCTGCGCTAATATGGCTCTCACTCTCACCTTTCTGCCTCCCCCATCTCAGGTTCACATTCCCAATCTTTACCCTTTGAATCCCTATGCAATGAAAATGGTCAAACTGGACACTCTGAGGTTGATTTACTAAAAGCAAATAAGCAGATCACTTTGCGAGGGGATTTGCCCCAGAGCTTAGAGAATGTGATGAAATTTCACTTAGCAAAGAATGATAAATCATGTGCAGGATAAATGAAAAAGCTTCAATTCACTAAGCTCTAAAGGGGTAAATTCTTCTGTACACAACCTATTTGCCTTTAAAGTAAATCAACCTCACTCTCTCTAAAATATCTAAAATACATTCAACACTGACCAAGTTGTATGTGACCCATGGAAAAAATTAAAATGGAAAAAAGCTCTACAATTTACCCTTACCTGGGAACAGAGAGTTAATTATATTTTGTGCACAAATCATCTATTAATATTACACATCAAGAAATGGGGTATAAACAGAATGGTATAAGGTTCCAAGTGCCCTACATTCTTTCTTTCATCCATTTCCAAAACATGTTGGTGATACAGTGAAGATGATGGTACTTTTCTCTATATTTTTGATAGCCCCCTCTAGCTCTGAAAGTTTTTGAAGGCAGTTGAAACAATCACACAAAGATTTATGGATTTTCTAATAGCCTCACAAGCTTGCCTTCTTTCTAAATTATCATAACACCATTCCAAAGAAAATAATCGATACAGATCCATGAATTTTGGCACAGACAGAAACCCATAACTTTACTGCATTAGTTTGAATGAATCATATATATTCTACTCAAATAATCTCATCTCAGTGTTTCAGGAAACTGAAAAAACAGACATAAATGGTTCTATTGTATGCAGGATACTTACACCACTAACCATTTATCCACTTTTGCACCTACTCTTCCATAAGAGATATCCTAAAGCCTATATTTTTACAACAACCCCCCCCCCCCACATACACCACCCCCACATTTCCATCTTACCTTGTCCTCCTCTCCAGGCTTAGCTTTCCTGAATCATTCCTCAGATTTATCACTTCTTACCCCCTTTCTACCACCCCATTTTTCAGTGTCACTGTACTCTCCAATCCTGCATGCCATAGTAACACTCCCACACTGCTACATGTGGTAATTGTCCTTTTCCCTTGTTCTCATAAACACTGGCAAAAATTGGGCAAATTAGGAAAACTGCAGCAGAAATAAAGACAAAGACAAGGTTTTCGCTGATTGTTCACTTACTCTTCAGAAAATAGGTTGATCAATTCATGCTGACAATGTACATTCCTTTGTATTTTCAACTTTATACACACAAACTAAGTTTGATTTATATCGTGTAACCATCTCATGTTATTTATAGATGGCATCTTTTAATAAAAAATGTATTAAAAAAAATAAATAAAAAAGAGTAAGCAAGAAGTAACACAAAAATGTTGTCATCTAGATTATGCTGTTTTACTATATGTACATTTATATTTTTCTGCAGTTACTTTTTTTTAGTAATAAAGTTATTAGATTTCCAAAATAATTTTTTACACACATATATACCACAACTTGAGAAATGTATTTCTTTCATTATATAATAATACAAATTAAGATAGTGTTTTAATAGTTTTCATTTTATTATAATGTTTTCAGATTAACAATCCAGAAAGATACAGGTCAGTTTGTCAATAAAAACATAACGCATTAAATCCTCAAACATAAGTTAAAAAACAAAAAAACAAAAACAAAAAAAAGGGTAGATACACATTTAAGCACCCAAGCACACTTGTTCCAGAAAAATACTCAGCAATGCAAGCTAAGATCTAGCCATTGAGGTAGAGCAATTCACCTGCTAATGTCGCATCAGATACACTAGCCCTCTGATCACTAGGTTTCTGAATTTTTAAACATTGATGATTACAAATGTTTTGACATTGACCCTTTGGCCTAATTCAATAGATAAAGTAGCATTTTTTAGATTGAGATTTTAGTTTTGTAAAACAAGAACAAGGGGAGGTAGGTGTCTAAAGTTTTTTTTTTTTTTATAAAAACCAATGATTCTTTATAACGTCTTCACTTTTTTCTTGAATGGCAGATACAAGTAAAACTTGGTGTATTCTATAACCCAAATTATTCTGTAGGAAAAAGTCATAGAATACCAGAGATCATCAGAATTAAATAAGGAAGAATATTTTTTAAAGGAAAAACTACAATGGTGTGGGAGACAATTACATTTTTGCTATTTTATTAAGTAAATCTTTTAACTGTTGCTTTAAAGAAAAAAAAAAAAAAAAAGAAAAAAAAAAATATATATATACAGTCATGGCCGAAATTGTTGGCACCCTTGATATTTTTCCTGAAAATCAAGTATTTCACACAAAAAAGGTATTGCATTAACACATGTTTTGCTATACACATGTTTATTCCCTTTGTATGTATTGGAACAAATATAAAACAGAGGCAGAAAAGCAAATATGACATAATGTCACACAAAAAACCCCAAAAATGGGCTGGACAAAAGTATTGGCACCCTTAACTTAATATTTGGTTGCACACACCTTTGGAAAACATAACTGAAATCAGTCGCTTCCTATAACCATCAATAAGCTTCTGACACCTCTCACCCGGAATTTTGGACCACTCTTCCTTTGCAAACAGCTCCAGGTCTCTCTTATTGGAAGGACACACCTTTTCCCAACAGCAATTTTAAGATCTCTCCACAGGTGTTCAATGGGATTTAGATCTGGGCTCATTGCTGGCCACTTCAGAACTCTCCAGCGCTTCTTTGCCATCCATTTCTGAGTGCTTTTTGACGTATGTTTGGGGTCATTGTCCTGCTGGAAGACCCAGGATCTTGGACGCAAACCCAGCTTTCTGACACTGGGCCCTACAGTGCGACCCAAAATCCTTTGGTAATCCTCAGATTTCATGATGCCTTGCACACAGTCAAGGCACCCAGTGCCAGAGGCAGCAAAACAACCCCAAAACATCATTGAACCTCCACCATATTTTACCGTAGGTACTGTGTTTTGTTCTTTGTAGGCCTCATTCCGTTTTCGGTAAACAGTAGAATGATGTGCTTTACCGAAAAGCTCTATCTTGGTCTCATCTGTCCACAAGACGTTTTCCCAGAAGGCTTTTGGCTTACTCAAGTACATTTTGGCAAACTGTAGTCTTGCTTTTTTATGTCTCTGTGTCAGCAGTGGGGTCCTCCTGGGTCTCCTGCCATAGCGTTTCATTTCATTTAAATGTCGACGGATAGTTCGCGCTGACACTGATGCTCCCTGAGCCTGCAGGACAGCTTGAATGTCTTTGGAACATGTTTGGGGCTGCTTATCCACCATCCGGACTATTCTGCGTTGCAATCTTTCATCAATTTTCCTCATCCGTCCACGACCAGGGAGATTAGCTACAGTGCCATGGGTTGCAAACTTCTTGATAATGTTGCGCACTGTGGACAAAGGCAAATCTAGTTCTCTGGAGATGGACTTGTAACCTTGAGATTGTTGATATTTTGCCACACAATTTTGGTTCTCAGGTCCTCAGACAGTTCTCGTCTCCTCTTTCTGTTGTCCATGCTTAGTGTGGCACAGACAGACACACAATGCAAAGGTTAAGTGAACGTCTCTCCTTTTTATCTGCTTTCAGGTGTGATTTCTATATTGCCCACACCTGTTACTTGCCCCAGGTGAGTTTACAGGAGCATCACATGCTTGTAACATTCTTATTTATCCGCAGTTGTGAAAGGGTGCCAATACTTTTGTCCAGCCCATTTTTGGAGGTTTGTGTGACATTATGTCGAATTTGCTTTCTTTCCTCCCTTTTTTTGTTTTGTCCCAATACACACAAAGGGAATAAACATGTGTATAGCAAAACATGTGTTAATGCAATACGTTTCGTGAGAAATACATGATTTCCTGGAGAAATATCAAGGGTGCCAACAATTTCGGCCATGACTGTATATATACATTTACACACACACACTGTATTTATGTGTATATATATAGTCTGTTCTTCCAAACAAGTATTTAATACATGACAAAGGATTCCAAAAGCACTGTGGGCTAGAGACATCACAATTTTGATTAAATAATAAGAAACTTATGTTGACCTATAAGAGTTCTACAGTATGAACTTTGCAAAATACATTCACATAAAATTATCAGGACTTTTTAGGTACAAAATACAATTCCATTTTATAGTGTAACATGTCCTTTTATTTGTGTGTGCAGACAAACTATTAGAATTCTAAAATCCAATATGAATTGTGGCTGATTGTTGAACACTGATAAATATACACTATACCTGTGTAATCAGATCTACATTATGTACATATATTTGGTATTACTGCTTAACCACCTTCCACCCGCCCTTTAGTACAATGACGGGAGCAAGATGGTTCTCTCGTTCTGATAGGACATCATATGACATCCTACCATTCTCACTGCGCATGCGCGGCGATTGCCACGGAAAGAGCTGAAGATGTCGGCTCGGTCATGTGATCAGCTGTGTCCAATCACAGCTGATCACATGTAAACATGGAAATGACGGTTATCGGCATTTCTCTCCTCTCGAGCTGTCACGCTGACAGCTCGAGAGGAGAGGAGAGCCAGTAATCGGCTTTTCGCGGAGGGGACATGTACACTGATCATCAGGGCACTAATGATCAGTGTGCCCTGATGATCAGTGTGGCCCCAGATGTGCCACCTGTCAGTGCACATCATTGCCACATGCCAGTGCCCATCAGTGCCACGTGCCAGTGACCATCAGTGCCACATCAATGCCACATATCAGTGCATACCAGTGCACATCAATGCCACATATCAGTGCCCATATGAGCTGCCTTTCAATGTCACCCATCAGTGCCAGTCAGTGCCACCTATCAATGCCAATCAGTGCCACCTATCAGTGCTGCCAATCAGTGCCACCTATCAGTGCCAGTCAGTGTCGCCTATCACCTATCAGTGCGCATCAGTGCCAGTCAGTGCCGCCTATCAGCGCCAGTCAGTGCCGCCTAACAGTGCCAGTCAGTGCCGCCTATCAGTGCCAGCCAGTGCTGCCTATCAGTGCCACCTATCAGTGCCATATATCAGTGTCATGTATCAGTGTCATGTATCAGTGCTGCCTGTCAATGCCCATCAGTGAAACCTACCAGTGCCTCCTCATCAGTGCCCATCAGTGCCACCTATCAGTGTCCACCAGTGCAGCCTATCAGTGCCCATCACTGCAGCCTCATTAGCGCACATCAGTGAAGGAGAAAAATCACTTATTTACAAAATTGTATAACAAAAACTAGGAAAAAACATTTTTTTTCAAACTTTTCAGTGGTTTTTGGTTTGTTTAAGAAAAAAAAAAAATCTCAGAGGTGATTAAGTACCACCAAAAGAAAGCTCTATATGTCTCAAAAAAAGTATAAAAAATTTCATATGGGTACAGTGTTGCATGACCGCGCAATTGTCATTCAAAGTGTGACAGCGCTGAAAGCTGGAAATTGGCCTGGGCAGGAAGGGGGTATAAGTGCCCTGTAGGCTAGTGGTTAATGATCTTGACCAAATAGACAAAGACTTCTCAATGTGTTTCTGAACCAAAGTCCACATCTTCTAGAGAACATATGGAGAATTATATTTCTATAATTGTAAAAAAAAATAAGAAAATGTCAATACTCTGTATGTAAATAAATTCATCCATTAGACATATTTGAATTAGCCAAAGGCAGCTACAACTTCAAAATCCAAAAGCTTGTGCATTGCCAACACAACTATGACAGGGACCATGGAGGGATAGGTAGAAGGAAGCAATCCTCAGGGAAAGAATAGGACCAAAACGTTCCAACTATCTTTCAATACACATGCAAAAATACAAATGAATCCCATCATATATTTTTCCTCTAAACAATTGCATGTGTTGACCTAGCCATAGAGCACTACTACATACCTTAAAGAAAATAAGGGTATCCACATTACACTCAGTAAATTATTTAGATAGCTTTATATTTTGTAGTATATGGTGTATTTTGTCATGGAAATATACAGTAAATATTACCTGACGAAAAGGTGCCTAGCTCAAATTCAATCCTTTGCTAATAGCCATAGAACAGCCTAGTACTCATCTTGATATTACATTTCTAGTTTTCAGATGTGCAGTTGCAAAATGCTCTATTCTTTTTCACCCCTTTATAGTTTATTTTATATACAGTGCTTCCTTCTGAGTCCCTCTTTATTCCCAATGAGAAAAGGGTCCGTTAGTGAATGTGCCAATAGGCAACCTACCTATGACCTATATCCTTCTATGAGGATAAATAGGTAACTTACAGTATCATTTTAAAAATTTCACTGAGAAAGTTTGCATTTAATTCCTGGAGAGAATTGGTCTGTTGGCTGGAATTAAAAATTAGTGGGAGAAGGATGCATCTTGCAACACAGGAATAAACTAATAAGGGGTCCAAACACCCTATACTAGTATCAGAGTGGATCAATTCCAGTTACAACAGACTAGGCCAATTTACCAAGTACTAGTAATGGGTGTGTTTTATAAAAACATCATAAATACAAACCATAAAGTCAAACATGAATATCAACCACTTGTATTTTATGTCTTTTATGTTTTCCATGTACAAAATACTCTTAATAACATTTTATAGCTTGACTTATTAAATGGCATCCAAGAGACTACTTACCAAATATAGTTGTAGAAAAATTTTCCCCTTATTTTTTTTTATGTAATATGCCCAGATAGATTCAGATAAACTGAATGAGAAAGTCTTCTTTGATTAATAGTCATAGACTGAATAGAAGTTTTTGAGGTCAAAAATATTTCACTTACACACAAACTGAAAATTACTGATCTGAGATACCATGCTGTACCAGATGATAGTTTAATATGGGCGATCAATGAAAAATATTTCCCCGTAGTACTCAAAAGTTAATATACCTGAATGAAAATAGAAACTCAAAACATGATTTATTTAGTTACATTTCATGTAATCTACAAAACACTTTACATTTTTTACTCTGCTGCTCATCAAATGAAAATTGAATGGGATGCTGCAACAAAGTGAATTTATTGTTACTCAGCTCTTGAGTGCTCTAGTGATTTTATCATCAGAGCTAACAATTTCAACTTGTTCATGAATGCATTATGGCCTAAGGTATTTCATTATGCTTAAAATGAGACAGGAAATGGACTTAAATATTTTAATAGATACTTATTCATTAAAAAACTGCTTTAGTGGCAACACATTTTTAGTGAAAAAACATATTAATAAAGTAACATTATATTATGTCATAATAAGAGTGTCAGGTAGAAAACCATCTGAAATAATGCTTATCCACCAAAAGAACATCACAGGCTCCCACTGAATCCCCTGCAATTCGCAAACAGGTCAGTCCAGAATGCTATCAACATGGGGCTGCACGACATTCTGCAACATCTTGACTCCCCAAGGATGTACACATGGATCCTGTTTGTGGGTTTCAGCTTGGCATTCAAAACTACCACTCCAGAAATCCTCCATTCACCCAGCTCACTGTGCCTCTTTTTACCTAGGGGTGGATTACTACCTTCCCAACAGACTGGAAGCAGCAGGTGAGCCAGGGGAATCATATCAATTACATGAACAGTCAGTACTGACGTTCCTGAAGGATGTGATCTCCTCACTACTCCTTTTCTTCTGTTCCACTGATTACACCTCAAGGAATTCATCTGTTAGGTCTCATGTACACTGCTGCTCCTAAAAGTGAGTTTAGGAGCTTTTGGAGTTTTTTTTTTTGCCAAAACCCCTGAACTCAACTCAATAAAAGCCTAAGTGTCCATGCACACATAGGCTTTACTGGAGTTTAGGAGCAACAGAGTTTAGGGGCAGTTAAACATCCCTCTCCTGAATGCGATTTGTTTTGGGCAAAAAAGCCAAGCACAACAAAAATGTGTGTAAACACGCCTAAGTGCTAACCATGTTTAGCACTGGGCATTTTTTCATTTCAATGGCAAGTACTCTTGCTAATGAAATGAATAAACGTCCAAGCGCTAACCACTGGTAAACATGGCTAAACACGGTACCATGTTTACATGTGTTTTTGCCACATTTAGCATTTTTCTGCTGCCAGTAAAGTTAACATCTATGGAAGTTCCAGTGTACAGGTAGCCTAAGTCAGCATAAATGCATGACATAGATCTGCTGTCTCTGTGGTGCATTTGTATGAGCCAGGAGCTCAGAACGCTCAAAACCATTTAGATAAGAGAAGATTCAGGAGAAAGCTCCCACACTGCTCAATCTCACCATACAATATTCACTTCAGGGATTTATGATTTACAGTTCCTGATGTAAACATCTAACATCAATACAATCCAAAAAAATAGGCCAGCAAAAGATAACCTGTGTTTGCTCAGGAAATTCAACCTGCACCAAGATCTGCTGATACAATTTTACACTGCAATAAGTAGGTCTGTACTTTGCAATTTCGTCACTGTTTTGTTTGGTTCAGCTTCAAAACAGGAAAGAAACAGACTATAGAGGACAGGTAAAAAAAATTAGGTGCTGACCTGTCCACAATCCAGGGTTTATGCAATTCCTAAGTTGTGAAACAGGCAGAGGAGATCACTTCAGACCCCTCACATCCTGAGCATTATTTGTATCAACTGATAGTAGACATTAGAGGTCATTGTATGCAGGACAACAAGACTTAAGAACAGTTTTCCTCCAAGCTTGATAGCTCATAGCTCTACTCATGAAGACTTGAATTCTCAATTACACAATTGACATTTTCACTGTTTGTGCTACTTCACCTTTTAGATGTTTACAGATTACACAGTGATACATTGGGGTTGATTTGCTAAAACTGGAGCTTGCAAAAATTGGAGCAGCTCTGCAAAGAAACTAATCAGCTTCCAGTTTTTTTTTCTTTTTTATCAAGGTTTAATTGAACAAGCTGACATTAGAAGCTGATTGGCTATCATGCACAGTTGCACCAGATTTTGCACTCTCCCGTTTTATTAAACCAACCCCCTGGTATTCACCACTAGTGATGAGTAGTTCAATTCATTGTCAGTTTTATGAAAGGGCCTCAAAAAAGGAAAATCTGAACATTTAACCAAACCCCTATTGAAGTCTAAAGCCTAGTATACACTATGAGAAACGTTGGAAGTCTAATTTAATTTTCCAAGAAATTGCATCTCATAATGTAGTTGGAATGGTATTGACTTGTAAGAAAATTCTCGGCCAACAAATGCAAATGTAGTTACGTACTAGCATAGTAGAAAATGCACATTTTTAAAATTCGATTATTTTCATACAATTGCTGCACATATTAAATGAAAATAGTTGTGTTCACGTACGATAAACATTTTCTAGCTTGCACCCTTGGTTTTTGTCATCTGAAAAGTTGCAATTGCCTTTCGAAAGCAGCATACTAAAAATCAGATAATCGACCAAACAGTTGTCGGACGGAAATTTTCTTCTGAATTTGTGTACTGGCCATAAGGGGGTGAAGCTTATTATTCAGTTAATTCCTTTTGTGCTGCTTATAAACAAAATATTGCCGAAAACTATGCACAGAAAGCTGGGCACCACCGTGGAGGACATGTTCCAATTGCAAACAAAAATTATTAAATAAAAAAAACAAACAAACAAGAGGGAGAGAGAGTCTATTCTTGTGGCTTGCAAGGCAACACTGAAGATACACAAATCCTTTAAATTACAGGTATGGGGGTATACTATACTTATACATTGGTCCTCTGGAAGTGGTGCTGATATCTCAGTCATGGCCGTAGCTGCAGCCATGATCCAGATTTCCCTGCATGGTAAAAGTGACATAGGTGGTTGTACAGCCACCACATCACTTTTATAGGTAGCAAAAAAGGTCCCTCCCTCCCACCACTGACTACCATCTTTAGAGGGCTCTCCCATCTCACCAGTAAGCCCGTTACCCATGCAACCAGTTGCATTGGCAACACCATACAGAGTGTGAGAAATTTCCATTGTTTCTCCCACTCTGTGACATC